CAAGTAGCTGGAACCACAGGTGCCCGCCACAACGCCCGGCTATTTTTTGGTTGCAGCCATTATTGTTTGGCGGGTCCGGGCTGGATTCAAACCTGCCACCTTAGGTGTATGTGGCTGGCGCCTTAGCCGCTTGAGCCACAGGCGCCGAGCCGAACTATAACTTTTTATTTATTGTCCCTTTACCATTTATAATTTTTTCTTTTTAAGAGAGATGGGGGTTTCACTCTGTTGCCAGGCTGGAATGTAATGGCGCCATCATAACTCAGTGCAGTCTTCAGCATCTAGCGAGAAGTCCTCCCTCTTCAGCCTCCCAAATAGTTGGGATTACAGCATCAGCATTGCACCCAACTTGGAAATACTTTTGTGTTACATTAAAAATGACTCATGCTATTCTAACTTACAAAATAAAGAAGTATTAGTGTCCTTTGCTTTGTAGTTGTCCCTGTGAGAACTTGGCTATTGATTTTTTCTTTTTCTTAATTCATATTGCTTATCCCGATGAAGTGTAGTTCAAAAAATATTGAACTTTTTTTGCTGTGGTTGATGAAAATAGTTACTAAAAAGTTACTTCATTCACTAGTTTGTGTTTAGAGAAGATCTTGGTTCTTGTTGAATAATATTATATTGTAATATGATTTGATTTCACTGCAGAGCTTTGAAAGGAGTTTTGCGAGTGGGAGTATTGGCAAAAGGATTACTTCTCCGAGGAGATAGAAATGTCAACCTTGTTTTGTTGTGCTCAGAGAAACCGTCAAAGACATTATTAAGTCGTATTGCAGAAAACCTACCCAAGCAGCTTGCTGTAAGTATTATGGAAATGTTAATTTTTACCCCTTGTCTGGTTCAAAAGTTTTTGCCATGATTAATTGTGCTTCATTTTGCAAACTGGTAAAACTGTTTTCTGTCTTTTTAGGTTGTATAGTACTTGTATTTGGCATGAAATCCATCTTGGTAATTTACTTAAAAATGTAAAATTATAGCATATGCCCTCCTTTTCTTGTTTTTTTTCCAAGACTTGAATCATAAGGCAGTTGAGGAAAAAGTGATTTTTTAAAAAACAAATTCTATATATAGCAAGCTTAAATTTTTTAAATTCATATACCTCTTGCCTATTTAGTTGAATATGTGTTTTTAATAAAACAGTAACTGAATTAGTTATTCTGATTTTAATTTCTTCAGTTTTATTGTGGATATTTTGAATTTATAATAATAGTAGACAATAATTCTTGTTTCCATCCTACAGATGATGGCCGTCCACAATTAATAGAACATTTCCCTTTGGGTCCTACAAAAACAAACTCTTTAAATCTTGAACATTAGAAAAGTTTATGTATCTGCTTGTCAAATGAGTTTCAAGACAGTGATTCTTTGGCTTAAGATATAAAACTTTATTTCAAAATCTTATAATTTAATTAGGCATTCTAAATTCAAGGCTTTCAGTTTTGTTGGTAACATGTATTCTATAATAGTGAGAATAACAGTACCAGACCCCAGAATAGCAACTGATAACAAGGGGTGCCCACCCCTTATACCAAGGGTGATGGGTTCGAATCCGGCCCCAGCCAAACTGCAACAACAACAAAAAAGGGACAGTGAAGCACACTGTTTCACTTAAGCTCTGACAACTCTGGCTCATAACTGTTGCTTATTTTATTAATATATTATCACTGTTGTAGACGAAGTTTCTTCCTGTAGATGGGTCTTTGTAATTATGGGGAGCCAGCAGAATCGGTGTTATATGTCTTCTTCTTAGTCCCTCTACTGAGGCTGGTAGGACAATAAAGGTGGGGAAAAAAAGGCTTGGAGACTTTGGAAGAATTGTGGAATTTGCAAGAAATATCTTGATTCTGGCTCAGTATCCATAGCTCAGTGGTTGGGGCGTTGGCCACATACACCAAGGCAGGCAGATTTGAATCCAACAACTGCAACAACAACAAAAAAGCCAGGTGTTGTGGTGGGTGCCTGTGCCCCTGTCAGTTAGGTACAATTATTGTCTCTGTTTTACAGAAACAGTGCAGTGTAATTAGATAATATAGATGTGTTGATTTCACAGAGAATAAATATTTGAAGAGAATGGTTAAAGTGAATTAGGTTCAGGTGTTAATCTTAGTTTCATTAAGTACAAATAAATGTGATAAATATGGCACTGTTTCTCTCATGAAGAAATTCCTCATCTAAGAGTGAGCCATAATGGAATTGCTTTGTCTGTTAATCCAACAGTTCCAATTAATTTTTTATATTTTTCATTACACAGGTTATAAGCCCTGAGAAGTATGACATAAAATGTGCGGTATCTGAAGCAGCAATAATTTTGAATTCATGTGTGGAACCCAAAATGCAAGTCACTATCACCCTGACATCTCCAATTATTCGAGAAGAGAACATGAGGGAAGGAGGTTGGAACGCCATTAAGCATTCTCCTTTTCTATTAACTATTTTTTTATGTACCTACTCTTTAAGATGGCGTTACGCCCTAGAAGGCAACATGCTGGCATTACGTGTGAATTTGATAGATTTGACTTAACTTAGTAGTTTTGCTTAAGATTGTTTCCCACAAAATAAAAGGTCTTTTTAGTGATGTATTTTTATGGAAAACATAGTATGATTGACATTCTTAATTTTTTTTTTCTTGCTAACCTCAGATTTCTGGAAAAAAAAACTTCAAATTATTTTTACTGGTATAATTGATGTATGAAAAAATTTTTTAATGTTGCTAGTGATTTAGAGCCACAATTTTAAGAACTTTTATTAAGAAGTTCTTGCTCTTGCTTGTCTTACAAAAAGGACAAGAATGTTTAACAAACAAGATTGGCTAAATATTCATAATATTTATGTTTTTAAGAAGTATTTTTGTGTATGGAATCATGGATTTGTCTTGGCCTGAGGTGATTATTTCTAGTTCTCTGAGGTTGTTATTTGATTTGATATGCTTTCATAAATGCAAAGCATTCTAATGCACGCATATTTGGTCATTTGACCCTTGTATCATACTAGAGATACTGAAAAATAAATAGTGTAGATGTAGTAAGTTACAGTACAATTTAAGGTTTCTAAACTTAATTTACAATTGTAGAATATGAGATCTTGCTGGTGCCAGCAGTGTTGCTTTAGGGACTGTTCTGTAACATTTTCAAAGCATCAAAAAAAAGCTTTTAAGCCAAAAAGCATGATCAATGTCTGCAGTATGTTGGTTCTGTTGTTTTATGGGTCAGATAAAATTTACTTTGTTTCCTTCCATGTTGTTTTTAAACATCATAATGTGTTAAGTCTACACTAATATTCCTTTGAGATCTAAGTTGAGAGAGTACTGCATGTTGAACAAAATTCATTTGTGTAAAATAACATCTGTAGGCTCCCAATTACTATCCCTTTAAATCTGTTTTCTTATAGCAAAGCAATTTTTTTAAGGCCGTGGGCTTTTCACAAGCCAGGAAAAGAACATTTTAACAAAGATGTTATTGGGAGATATGTCTAATTTTGCATACTTTGTATTAGCATTTATGTGTTAACATCTTAAGCTTTGCATCTTAAAAATAAATAGGTTTTGTTAAAGGGTTTTTATGTGAACATGACTTTCCACTTAAGGTCTGGCCATGGGTGTTGCTGGAGAAAGTTCCTGAGTCAGTCTGATCAGGTCATATACAGCATATGACTCAGGATTTGAAAAAAAATCTAACATATATTATAAATACTGCTGTATTTAGTGTGAAATTATATATATTTAACCATTTAACTTTATTTCAGAATACATTTTGTTTAATTTTACTTAGGCCTATTAAATTTGTGTGGTATCAAGCAATTTCATCATGTTGCAACAGTCTAAACTTAATAGTATCATATTTATAATAAATTCTTGGGTAACCTATGCCTTCTAAAGGAAACAAATTTATGTTTTTGTCTGACCCAGACTCAAGTTAGGATTATTGTTCTGAATTTTATGAATATTATGGCAAGGGAAATAGTCCAAAATTAAAAGATTTTGCTTCAAGACACTGAGCTGAAAAGTTGGATATGCAAAAGGGTAGAGTGTTCCTTGCTGCAGATAACTGCAGTAAACCATGTCTTTAGCTTCATTATGAAGATTGTTTGTTTCTTGCTGCAGAATAATGGTATGTATTCTTTCTCACTGCAGCTCCCAATGCTCTGTGTCTTAAAATCATTTAAAGCCTATAGCTTGCTTTGGGGAGTTAGTATAAGGGTTAAGGAAGGCTTTGCCGGAAGAACAGTTTGTATAAGACTTTCTACTTGCACATAGTGTGGTAGCCTCTTTAATGCATAATGATCCTGTTTAATAACCAAAAATTATTTTTAAAAGGAAATGATTATTAAATTGTCCAAATAACTGTTAAACGCATGGCAGATCTATTATATGGTATCGTGTTTGACAGTTAAACATTAAGTGAACATTTAATTGACTTTAAGCTTGAAATGTTCAAAATGTTCTAACCCTTGCTACAGAGTCTTCTGCAGCAAGTCAAATATTATATGTGTTTTTTTTCCACCTGTAGCTTGTCAGGCCCGGTCCAAAGCCTTCTAGCAGAGGGAATTGATTCCTGTCAGGGGTTGCTGCCAAGACATCGGAAGGATTTTTGACCAAGGTTTTCAAAAGCTTAGTGTCACATCTGCCATTTGATTAAGGAGAGGTTTTGGATGCAGAGCCTGGCATTTATTGTCCTTTGTGTGGCTGTTTGTTTCGTCTTTGTCCTTTCTAGAATTGAGCAGTGTTCACACTAGTTTTTAAATGGTTGAGTAGACTGTATATTTGACATCAATATGTTAAAGTAATATATTCCCATTAACTTTTAATCATAAAATAGTGTGGACACAGCATGTCTTCTTACTGGTGATTAACCCCTTAAAATTTATGAAATATATTCATATAGGATAAGAATTTACATTTTGTTTTTATAAATTGACTTTTGTTAACTGGGTGTTAGGCAACAAGTATGATTTTAGCAGAATATACCTAAGGGGTTAATCTACTTGAAACAGGAAATGGGTGCAAAAATCCACACTCTAAATTTAACAAAAATGTCCTACTTATAGCACTGATTGATTTTAAATTGCAATAGGTGCCTTGGCATCTTTGAATTTACACCATTGACTCAAATTTCCAAAGTTGTTAATGCTGTGTGCAAAAAGAAAAATTTTCTCACACACTGAGGGAAATTATAAAATTATGGATTAACATTAGAAATTTAGAAACATTTTTAGAAAGAGATTGCACATTGTCACCTATTTGCATCCTAGTGTCAGCAAATAATGTAAGTAAATAAGGGGCACGAAAAACGTTCCTTTAGCATGTTCTATAACTCTGCTTTCAGGAGTGGCTTTTTTGGTATTTTATTTTTTCCTTTTTTTTTAAATTTCATTTTTAAACTTTTTATTTAGCTGTGCTTTTCTGGGTTCCTTTTTCTCATCTCAAAGGAGTGTGTTTCTTATGTTCAGGTTATTTCTAGATTTAGTAGTCTTAGAGGTTTGGAGATTATTACTAATAATTTTCTTTTGATGGTTTCTTTTTAGCACCAAATACTCCTTTTAGTGTTTATTCTCAAAATGCCATATAATTTTTCTTGATTATCTGTGTCTTGCTTCTAATGTCTTCTGAAAAATCTTTATCTGTCTGCTTACTTGAGAAGAACTGAAAACAGAAAACTCAGACAGGAAATGGAATTCTGTCAGTTTTTACATGTCATCTACTCAAGGAGAAGTTAACTTTTAAGATTTCTCAATGCTCATAATGAAATATATAATCAAGTAACTTGCCCAGATTTGGAATTTGTACTCTTAAAGTAATCTTTAATTTTTTTTAACTCTCATTATATATTTTTTCTTTTGTTCCTCATAAACATTTGATATAATCAGTGAATTATTGAATTATATCCTAAATGACCCAGAATTTTGATTCTCTTTGGCCAAAGGACTGTTGTATTCATCTACTATATAGATTATATTTTTCTATATTTAGAAAATATTTATACTATTGAAAGCATTGAGAGCTATGAATTAGATTCAGTTGCCATTTGTTTGTTAATAGTTTGATTAGCAAATTTACTGTTACTATATACATTTTACAGTGTTTATATGAATAGAAGGCCTGCCCTTTGACTACTTTTATGTATGACTTTTATTAATATAAAATTAACTTCTTGTCCTGGTTTAGTTTCATATTTCCTCCTCAAGTTTTGTGTGGCTCACTTATGTCTTAACTTAAAAGATTCTGCGTATATATCATCACAGTATTCTGCTTGTTGCATCTTTTCTATTCTTAATTCTGTTTAATCATGTTAGTTTCTATTGCCCTGTTCTCCTTTACCACTTGTTTCTAATTATTTTTTGAAATACTTTATGGGAACTTTGAATTTTAAAAGGCATTTCATATTCCCTGGTAGCTAAAATTGTTTTGTGAGCATTAAACTCTGAGAAATGCCTATTTTTGGTTCCTCATTTTTTCCCTATGATTATTACTTTACTGATTATTCCATATCTATCATCAGTTCTTTGTTATATTAGCCCAGAATAACCTATGACCATTTAAAATACTGAACAAACTCAGTAGTTCATTGTACATTCTCATTTATCAAGGTGGATTTTTGTGTTCCCTCTTGTCTTGTCTTTGTGCTAGTGCGCTGTGTCCAGTAATCTTTCCTTTGGATTTCATTTTGGTGGGTAGGGTTTATATTTTGAGAAATTATTTATTATATCACTAAATTAAGACTTTAACTTAATTCTCTCTTTTTTCTTTATATTGAATTAAGTAAATTTGTTGAAAATTACTCCTTGGTACTCAAAATGCTGATAAACTCTCAAATGGCTCATGTGACACTGGTGCTACTTTAAGGAAGTGTCTTGCTCACCTGGTCAAACACCCATTCCTCACTGCATTTTGCCAATTCAATCCATTTTAGATGTAACCTCGGGTATGGTGAAAGACCCACCGGACGTCTTGGACAGGCAAAAATGCCTTGACGCTCTGGCTGCTCTACGCCACGCTAAGTGGTTCCAGGTTCGGAACATCATTTTACTTTTTTCTTGTAGCCTTATGAGAGAGTAGTTCAGTACAATATGTTTAACTGTGCTTAAACATTTCAAAACATTGCCCAAGCAATAATATTTTAAATTAAATCTCAGAAAATATGTTAACGTAGAAAGCTGGGTATGAAGATCTGCATATTGCAGTTACTATTAATTTGACAATAAAATTAGGTTTGGGGTGTTTTATAGTTTGGGTTTTGTATTTTTTATTTTTAGTGGCTATATTTAAAGTTGACTTGTTTAGGAACATCACATGTTTGTGTATATATATTATATTCCATAAGGCTGCAGATTAATTTTGCTTTAAATAATGGAATATGTGTTTAAGCTTTGTGTATAGTTTTAAGATTTTTCCCCCTCTTTCTCTAAGTTAATAAGTGTAGGGAATGAAAGGTGAGGAAGCAGCTGTTTGGTTTAGTGACTTTGCAGTCATGCAAAGGCACAGAAGGGAAACCAAACAGATTTCCTTAACCTTTCAGTCCCTAGACAAACTTTTTAGCTCTACTTTTTCTTTTATTTCTAATGTAGGCAGATTTTTTTTTTAAGTTTATTGTTTTAGATGGAACACAGGTCAAGGTTCACAGTGGATCAAGAAATATTGTTCTTGTATAATCTGTTTACTTTGACCTAAATACCAGCTTTTAAATACTAACCCTGGCATAAAATATTGCTGTAAATGGCAGCTCATTGAATCCAATTTTAAGTGTGATTATTTTTATTTTTATCTGAGCTTCCATTGAACAGTGGTATTTTAACTTTTTTTCATCAAGGGATATTTTTAATATTTCTAAGATTAATTCAGTTGGTTTTTGTGTTGCTCTCAAGGCTAGAGCTAATGGTCTGCAGTCCTGTGTGATTATCATACGTATTCTTCGAGACCTCTGTCAGCGAGTTCCAACTTGGTCTGATTTTCCAAGCTGGGTAAGTAGTATGTAGCTATATAGTATCAAAGCATGTAGGAAATATTCCTGTGAGATTTAGCCTCTAAACTTACATTTAATTGTCAGCTGTTTGTATTTAGTAAATACGGTTTTTTCTCTTCTAATGAGAAATCATGAGGGTCTTAGAATTTAATTTTCAAAATTTACTAATTAATAGCTCAGTGTAGTGGTGAATTCTTGTAATCTCCACTATTCAAGAGCCAGGAGTTTGTGGTTACATTGAGCTATGGTGATGTCAGTACCCTCTAGCCCAAGAGTGATACTCTGTCTCAGAAAACAAATTTGCTAATTAAAGAATTAGAGTTGGCTCGGCGCTTATAGCTCAACCGGCTAAGGCGCCAGCCACGTACACCTAAGGTGGCGGGTTCGAATCCCCAGCCCGGACCCGCCAAACAACAATGATGGCTGCAACCAAA